TCGCAATCTTCAAAACGAACTGTAGAACATAGTCGAATTTGGTTAATGAGTGCATGTAAAGTGTTGTGCCAAAACAATATTCGAAAATATATAATCAGCTGGCACCTTCTCCCTTATATGGGCGTATTACTACTAAACGTCAACGTTCAAATCAGTTAGTACTAGTACCGAGTAAACAGAAAAAAGATACTGGTACATTAGTGAATAGAACCTCGAAGCCCCTAAAATCACAACTTGAAAAAGAAAATAATAATACTGGAAAAGGCACTATACCCTGCCCATTTCTTAAGCGTCGAGGGTGGTGTGCAAAGGGAAGGCGTTGCGATTTTAAACATCCACGTGGTGAACAAAAACATTTGGTGCCTTGTTCCTTTTTGCAAAATCGAGGCTATTGCTTAAAGGGCAGCGGGTGTGATTTTTCCATAGTACCAATCATAACAGAACGGCATCACGGCCTGTTAATAACCATCCCAACCCACCTTTTTTCTCTTACCATCCTTACCATCGTCCTCCTATGGTCCCACATTTAAGAACACACGGAATGAGTGTCAACCGAAGTCCTCAAAGTTACTCCCAGTTTGCTCGGTTTTTTCAACATTGCCCGAAATCCTTAATGGAAATCCCTGTCCAACCTCCGTTTCCCTTCGCATTCCGCGAAAGTTATTAACTTTCTTTCTAGCGAACTCTCGATCACTTTTACCTAAGATTGATGAACTGAAAACTATTTTGCATATGAATGAGGTTGGGTTGGCCTTTATAACTGAGACATGGCTAAATGAAAATATTGATGACGGTGCCGTTGAAATTAGTGGCTTTTCCTTAGTTCGGCGTGATAGAATTTCTAGAATCGGGGGTGGCGTTTGTGCTTATATTAAAGACCAGATTCCTTTTAAAATCTCAACAGATTTGCATGAAGACAGTTTTGAATCACTTTAGCTTTACTTGAGACCAAATAAACTTTTCCGTGACTTTTCCTGCCTGATTATCTGTGTGGTCTATCACCCTCCCTCCAATGATAACTGTGCCTTAATCGATCACCTAACATCTAAACTTGACGCTGCTCTTGTATTGTACCCCAACGCTGGTATTTTTCTCACTGGAGACTTTAATAAATGCCCAATTTCCTCCTTACTACGTCATTTTACTTTGAAACAGATAGTTAAAGAACCCACAAGAGGAAATTCCACATTGGACTTAATTTTGACAAATATGTCTTCCTGTTGTAACTCTCTGGCGTTATTACCCCCTGTTGGCCAAAGTGACCATAACTCCGTACTGTGGTCCTTTAATAAAAATACAGCTAAATATGGTACCTCGAAAGTGAAAACTAGACAAGGTAGCAATTATGACAGGAGAGCATTCGGTAAATGGCTAGCTGATATAAACTGGAACAACATGTACCGCGCTGAATCATGTGAACAAAAGCTAGATTTTTTTTAAACAGTTATAAATACTGGTTTGGACTGTTTTTTCCCTAGTAAAATTGTAAAGTTGCACGATCATGATAAACCTTGGCTTACAGTCGAATTCAAGAAAATTATAGAAAATAGACAAAGAGCGTTCCGTCAGGGCAAACGTTTGCTATACCGTAGATTGAGAAATCTTGCCAATAGAGAAAGTAAGAGACTCAAGTCAACCTTCCTTAAGAAAAAGATGGATGAGTTAAAACTAAACGCCAATGCTAAAAAATGGTGGCAATGTATAAAACAGCTTGCGGGTTTCGCCAAGAACAAAACATTCTCTAATTTCGTTGTAAACAACTAGGTTTTTGCCGGTAAAGAGTTAGCAGATAAAATCAATGATGTTTTTGTCTCATCTACCCAAGATATTCCTCCCTTGAATAAGTCTCTAGTTGATGACCTAATTGAAAATGGCAGTACAAGTATCCTCCCACAGTTTATTATCGAAGAAAAAAATGTATACTGTAAATTGTCCGCCATCCCCGTTTCCAAATCAGGTGTGGTCCTGATGGAATACCTAATTGGGTGCTTAAATCTTATGCGTATGTTCTTTCTTCCCCTGTGGCATCGATTTTCAACGCTTCGATTCAAGAAGCAGTTGTACCCCCAATGTGGAAAAAAGCGAATGTTATCCCTGTTCCAAAAAAATCAGTCCCTAAAGACATTTCTAAAGATTTGCGCCCTATCTCACTTACCACCACTTTATCTAAAATTTGCGAACGGTTTGTTACAGACTGGTTACTTAAGTCAATTGGTGCAAATTTTGATACGCGCCAGTTTGGCTCCGTTAAAAATTCCTCGGCTACTCATGCCCTACTGAGCCTGACCCATCACCTCCTGAGTGCTACAGATGCTTCAAGCAATGCGGTGAGAGTATTCCTGCTTGATTTTGAAAAAGCTTTTGATCGAATAGATCACAACATACTGGTGAATTATAAGCTACAACAAATGAGTGTTTCCTAAACCATTATAAATTGGATTAGAAGTTTTCTCTCTGATCGTAAACAACGAGTCAAGTTGGCTAACTGTCATTCGGACTGGCAAACGTTAAACGGTGGAGTGCCGCAAGGGTCGGTGTTAGGGTCGGCTTTGTTCCTTGTTATGATAAATGATCTTCTTATTGATTGGAGCGATAGATGGAAGTATGTTGATGACAGTACGTTTGCTGAACGAGTTACATCAACTGAATGTTATCTATAATTGGTGTGAAGTTAATAATATGAAGCTCAACATCGGCAAATGTAAGGAGATGGTAATTGACTTTGCAAGAGAAAAACATGAGTTCTTACCGTTAACTATAAATAACGTTGGTATTGAGCGGGTAAAATCTGCCCGAATTCTTGGTCTTTCAATTCAAGATGATTTGAAATGGAACGAGCATGTGAACCATATTGTTAAAAAAGCGGGAAAACGCTTTATATGCTAAGGTTGTTAAAACGATCAAATGCCGACAATAGCATTCTAATTTTGGTATACTGCACCATTATCCGGCCAGTACTCGAATATGCCTGCCAAGTTTGGCACTTCAATATTACAGAATACCTAAGTGAAGATATCGAAAAACTCCAGAAGCGGGCTCTGCGTATTGTCTTGCCATTCGCTACTTACAGAGAAGCTTGCAGTATTACTGGTATACCCTTACTGAAAGATCGGCGGCGATTATTATGTGAACGTATTTTTGTTAAAAATGCACATGGAGACAAATTGGGTGACCTCTTACCGCCTAAACTTGAACATAACTATAATACACGTCATGGAAGCGATTATAATAACTATAGTTGTAAAACGGACAGATTTATGAAATCGTTTTTTCCACAGATGGTTTCACATATGAATAGACCATAATTTTAATATTTTTAAATTTGAACTCTATAACTTTTTCAATTGAAGTTATGAATAATTTTATGCATTTAGATATTCATATTGTAGTATAATGAGACTTTATACTGATGTAATTTAACCTAAAGGTTACAAATCGGTAATTTTATTAAATTATTAAATTATTAAATTATACTGTATACTCTACATCACTGTGAAGATGTTACTGGTTGAGAGAATATTTTACCTGTCTCATTTGTAAATAAGGAAAAGTCTGACCTTTAAATTTATACAACTGAATGATATGCTGTATGAGAATTTCTAATGGTTGGTCAACTGATAATGTATCAACTGGTGTCTACTATTTGATAATGCTGAAAAGTAAATATTAGAAAATAAAACTGTATGAATAAATAAGATTTCTATCTGTCAGTGACCAATTAAATATTTCAGATCAGGAGCAAAAGCTGTATGGAATCAGAAGGAATCTTACGCACCTTTTATGGTGTGCATACAGTATATCAGGACGCTTTTCAATTAATAACAGAAGATGTATTCATCACAAATTTGGACACATGAGCTAACACCTGCTATCCTGGAATGAATGGTGAATGTACTGTATCCCCAGTGGAAAGAATATATGACTTTGTTACTCACGTTACATGTAATACCTTCTTAATATTCAATTATCGAACTTTTGAGTGTAATGCCAATGCTAAGACTATTTAAGCTACTATTTTTTAAGATTAGTATAATATTTTTATTATATATCAAGATAAATTGTCTAGTCGAGACCTCAAACTGTTGTAGTCTAGTTATTGTCGCATCTTATACTAAACTGCGTTGAACTTTAATTTACCGAGTTACAAGGTATTCTGTTCCAGGGGTGAATTGGAGGGGCAGAGCTTTCTAATTTTGATGATTTCATAATCTCTTAAATCATGTTTGAAAGTTTTTTGAAATTATGGTGGCGCCTCGTGAAAAACGGCACCCTATTAAAGTGTATCAATAATTAGCGATAATTTCAGTGATTTCTCTTTGGTTGGAATATAATCCACTAACGCCGTACGCAAATGCATGTACGCTTAGCGTACCTATTTTTATTCCAAAGGCTAACCACATGTACGCAATGCGTACCTATTTTTTGCATTTTTCCCCACTTATAAAAAAAAGTTCCGTGTAAAATTCCCAAAATTCTTGCCTTTTCGACTATTATCTCACATATTTCTTGCTTTTCAATATTTCCCCACGCCTTTTCGTCCAACTTACGTTATAATTTTCCCAACTTTACGGTTTCCTGGGACAGCCACTCCCCTTTCTCCACCCCGTCCCGCCATCTTTCGTTTCCTATTCCACGAGGGCTCCCGTGCACATCAAGAAATTGAACGAACGAGCTCAACTTGACAAACAGTTTGCCGATGGTTGTATATATACAGGGAAGCGAAAAATATAGTTAAATCCTGTGTATTAGTATTCCGGTGACAAAATACAAAGCTTTGAAAAAATTATCAGCGAAATTGTTAACATCTCATTTTGGTGATGCTGCCAATGGTATCGAGAATCGTTTGTATGGGGTTGCATGATAAATCATGCACATTTTAAATTACGTACCAAATAAACGTTAGCTTTTCGAAATTAGTTTATTCTTGACGAGCAAAATCGTCTGTTGTTAGACAGAGCAGTAAAATAGTGTGGCATTAGACAGAGTAAAATAATAAAATAGGGCGCAATGCAACTTAATGTGGTTAAACATGTTATTCACGTTGATATAGATTTCGAATAGACAGTGTCTCAGCTAGCACGAAGTGATCAGAAACCATTTCGTTTAGAAGATCATGGCATGTCCACCAAAAATTGCGACTTTCCCAAAAGGCACGAGGACCTGTGAACGAGACAGATTACATCGCTGGTTTACATGAAGTTTCATAGGGTTCTTTCCAAGTTTTAGCCCGTGAAATTTCACGGCCTAAAGCCAGGCGCACACACTGCGATTTTAGTCGGCCGATTCAGGTTTAGATGGATGTTTTCGGCAAAAACAATCAGTGATATAGGATCTGTGGGCTCATCTACATAGCCAGATTTGCCAAAATCATGCACCTAACCTTAAATCGGCCGACTAATGCACCTATCATTGTTTTCCCCCTGGGGGGGGGGGGGGGGGGGGGGGTGCGGGCGACCCAGGGGACTTTGACACCACTATGAAGCACAGGGGAGGGGAATTTGATCTATGCATCAACTCCCAGAGTCGGGAAATTTTGACATCCGCCATCTTGAAAGTTTGCGCGGTTTTGACATTAAAAGGCCTGGTAACAAATATGGCGGAGAAGCACGATCAAGTTTCATCGAAAAAGGTATTTTATACACAGTGTCTCAATTTTTACCAAGTTTAAACCAGTATAGACTGTATGTTCGCATTGGAAAACATATGTGTGTCTTGTTATCATAGGAATATAATGGGGAATTTTGACAGCCATTCCTTGCCCAACAGTGGGGATTTTGACGACAAAATTTTGAAAATGTCAAAATTCCCCTCGGTTGCCCGCACCCCCCCCCCCCAGGGGGAAACATTGATAGGTGCATAAAATCGCAGTGTGTGCGCCTGGCTTAACGATAAAATAAAGCCGTACGATTTTCATCCTGAGCGGGGTTTCAGCCCGGTTTAAATATGGCAGTACGCTGCCATGCAAACGTGTAAACAATTTCAGTTCGGTTCTAACGGATTGAAAATTCGCATGTGATCAGCCCCAGCTCTATATATGTCTATTCTCAAGATCGTATGAGTTTTATTTTCTTATTTAAACTTATATATCACACTCACTTTCTAAGAGCTGATGTCAACAATTGCAGATCTTGATTACAGAATCCAACAGTGCAAATACCAGCCAAACACGTCTTGAATTTGACATCTAAACAAGAAGAAAGTAATTCAAGGCGAAATTACTACCCTATTTTAAATACAACAAAACGTTAAACTTATCTTTTTAGCACTGCCACTGTAAATGGCGAGGTAAACCGTCTCATTTTACATATGTCTACAGTGTGCATGTAATTCGCCACACACAGCATGTCTACCCCACATAATGATATAGCTTCACATGTCCGATTTGAGAATCAAGCAATGCAGCCAGAGCAAATAAATATCTCAACATGAAACGAGAAACTAAAATTAATAACAAACTTTGCTTAAATCTTACTCACCGTGTAAATCCATCTTGTTTCTTGAGATTCGAAAGATGGAAGTCTAGCATATAATATTTCAGCATCGCCTGTAGATTTTGATTGATAGCGAAAGCTCAAAGACTGTGACAAAGACACCAGCCCACACCAACGAGGCAATTATACTATAGTCACCAACGAACAGCGTTTGTTTACAGGATTTTCCATGATGAATAAGTTTTTAGACGTTCTCTGGTTCTAAATATTAATCAACTATGATTAAAACTATACCAGCTTTCGATTGCCAGTTTGCAGCTTTGTCTTTCACGCGTAATGACAATGAATATTATTCGAAATAAAGCTATTTGCATGCATTTGATTAATTGATGAAGACCTGGATTTCACATGCACGAAAGGTTTTCTTTTGTTTAAATTCAATGAAGTCCAGCAGGGCGCTTCTATAACAAATATTTAGTTAGGGTTAAAATCAAAATAAATTTAAAAAAAACCCAAAACCATTGAAATAACGTATTGTTCAAATTTGAATGCCCTAGCACTATCATACAGGGTGTATCAAAAAAAGCGCAACCTTGGAATTTCCCAAGAAATCGACATTGTTTTAAAGACAAAAGATTTTAGGCGCCTGGGAATTTAAAATAGCATAACTGTCAAAATTACTGCACACGCGAGTGCATAAAGCAAAATTTATGCATTTATTTAATGCACAACAACAGTAATATGATCTATTAGCAATTTGATTATAATTCCAGGGGCCTAAAATCTTTTATGCTTAAGAATTGCAAAGTGATTTCTTAGGAAATTCCGAGGTTGCGTTTTTTTTTATACACCCTGTATATTAAAATTGACTTTCATATTAAGAAATTAAAATATATCTTTGTAAATTTTTTTCTCTAGGGAATTTAAAGCAGCATAAAGATGTCAAGCATTGCTGCACTGTCTTGTGGGTTCAGCAGAGTGCATGCTGAGGCATTCAAATTCTAACAAGAGGGTCCTGAAGGGGTGAATTTGGAATTAGGATTAGCCTTTTTATCCTGGGAAAATGGGATTTGTCTTAGTGGGAATTGGATTGTGCCACTGATAAATGGGATAAATCTTCAAATTGGGATTGGGAAAATTACGCTTTTTAGCCTCTATAGACTTCATAAGATCTTTATAGACCTTCTTATAAGCTCATAATGCCGTAACTGTTCGAATTCGAAAACAACTTTAAATATTTTACTTTATATATTTTATAATACATTATACGTTTCGCAATATATTCTGTGGATATTTGCAGTTTTTGTAGTCTGCTGTATTCATGTAACAAATCATACCATGCCAACATGGCAGAAGTTAACAGAGTTAACGAAGTGTTGATTGAAGTCGAAAGTTGCCAAATTTGGGCTGTTGTTGTGGAAATCAAGTACATAACTGTCCAAAATATAACTGATTTCGACTTGATTTCAATGATAATATTGGCGGAGCTAGCATTATCACTGACAGTCATCACAAGCGTCTGCTGACGAAGATGAAGCTAGTGAGTCTAGTATCAGTAGTGACGATCAAAAACAATGAAACAGGCCAAGCAGAGGTGGACACAATTGTTGAGAAAGCACTGAACATGATCCGTCCTTCAACGCTTGGTCGTGTCCGAAGACTTACGAGCGAATGTCAAAGCCAGAGCTCCCGTCGAAACTTTTTAGGGAAACATTTTTCCGCACGAGTAGGCTTTAATTGCTTTCGTGGCACTTACCCCAAATTTTCCGTACCATATTTCCGTTTACTTTGCCCGAAAAACACAAATATTTCGCTCAAAGAAATGACTGCA